AACACATAAATAATTGTGTGTGTAGTGCTTTGTAAGCTAATCGAGTTCAATTCATAAACGACTCTTCCAAGCTCAATGAAGCTGAACTGTAGTCAAGATTGGGATCAAGTCACAATGGGCAATACAATCAACTCCATTCAACTTATTTATAGCCATATAATTGAAGCCTCAATAGTTTTAGCAATAAATCAATAACTAAACTAAATTACAAACAAATTAAATGAGTGTGAGATAGAACTAATTAAGCCTACACTAGAATTCAAACCTAAAAGCTTAACATTTTAGGTTTTCTACCTTGCAATTACATTTCAATGGCCATATTAGCAGACAATTAACCATCGATTACTATGAGTTATCATCTATCAATAACCAATTATGGGGTGAGTTTCATCATTAAGCTTAAACAAAAGACCAAATCTGATCTTCTCCTTTCTTCTTCTTTTAGTTAAACCCACATCACCGACTTCCCAGTGATAGCCTCTCTTCAACAATAGATCACATGATACATTTTCATCACAGCAAAATCATTACTTTTGATGCAGATAACAAAACATATCTGGTGTCCCATAATAAATTTTCCCCAAGAAAAAGAAAACGGTAGAAGTCAATTACTGTCTAGAGATGGAAAACAGGATTTAATGACACTTTCTACACGTGTAGGAAATGTGACTCTACCCCTGCAACACACACAACTCCAAAATGGATAAGACCTCCCACAATTCAATATAAAAATCATCTTGCATTCACCACCTTCATCGCACCCACAATTCAGAAAGCTCCATCCTTGAAGAGAAATTTTGGGTGTTTTAGCTATGGAGAGGAGTGAAGCACATGTGACATCGGGTAAGATTTCTGGGCTTCAGGTGCAGCAGCCACTGCCGCGTGCGGTGTCGCCGCCTCGGCCTAGCCCGCTGAGGAAGACGATCCTAGTGGCTGCAATCGCTGCTGGGATTCAGTTCGGGTGGGCTCTGCAGCTGTCTCTTCTGACCCCCTATGTGCAGCTTTTGGGTATTCCTCACAAATGGGCCTCTTTAATCTGGCTCTGTGGGCCGGTTTCCGGCATGGTAGTCCAGCCCATTGTGGGTTATTACAGTGACCGGTGCACCTCTCGGTTTGGCCGTCGTCGGCCCTTCATCGCCTCCAGTGTCGCCTTGGTCGCCACCGCGGTTGTCCTTATCGGTTTTGCGGCGGACCTCGGCCACCTCTTCGGGGATTCCTTGGATAGCGAAATGAAGCCACGGGCGATAATATTGTTCGTCATCGGATTCTGGATCCTTGACGTCGGTAACAACATGTTACAGGGGCCGTGCAGGGCGTTTCTGGCGGATCTTTCAGGGAACAACCAGAAAAGAGTGCGTGCCGCCAACGCCTTCTTCTCCTTCTTCTTGGCAGTTGGCAACGTTCTCGGATGCGCCGCCGGCTCCTATAGCAAGCTCCACAAGATATTCCCATTCACAACCACAAAAGCCTGTGATATTTACTGCGCCAATTTGAAGAGCTGCTTTTTCTTCTCCATTGTGCTTTTAATAACCCTGACTACAATAGCCCTCACGTACGTGCACGAACGGCCATGGTCGCCGGAGAATGGAAATTCCGGCGATGTGGGCAACGAAATAGAGGAGGAGGAGGAGGAGGCGGAGGAAGCAGGGGAACCAACGCCGGTGCCATTTTTTGGGGAAGTAGTCACGGCCTTGAAGGAGTTGAAAAGACCCATGTGGGTCCTACTACTGGTGACGTGTCTCAACTGGATTGCATGGTTCCCTTTCCTACTGTTCGATACTGATTGGATGGGGAGAGAGGTGTACGGCGGGCAGTCGGAAGGGGATAATCCTGGGTTGAAGAAAGCCTACAACAGCGGCGTCCGCGCCGGCGCATTGGGGTTGATGCTGAACTCGGTGGTTCTGGGGTTCACCTCACTCACCGTAGAGGTTTTAGCTCGTGCGGTCGGCGGGGTCAAGCGGCTTTGGGGCATAGTCAACTTCTTACTAGCAATTTGCTTGGCCATGACCGTTTTGGTCACCAAATTGGCAGAGTCTCACCGACGGTACGCCACAGTCAACGGTGCTGACGTGCTCTTAGCACCCCCTGGAGGAATCAAGGCCGGTGCATTGTCTATATTCGCGGTTCTCGGCATACCCATAGCCGTAAGTTATCATTCCCTTCATTTCTTTTCCTTTGCTTTCTTTGTCTTGGTTAGACAGATTCTTGTGCTTATCTTACGGTAAAATTGAAGGCTTTCATTAGATACCATTAAAGGACGCTACCTAAGGAATCCGGCCGCTTCCATGAAAAGCACCACAAATTAGCAAGAGGACAAGCAAGATCTGTCAACCCCACTAATGCATTTACTGCACTTCATTGGACTTATTATTGATTTTGAAATATGAAGGCAATGTGTTTGTTTTAATTCCTCAGTGAATACTTGGAAAGTGAGAACTTTGTTATTATGATTTGAAGGGTGACTTGATTGTAATAGACAAAGATGGGCCTAACCCTTTTTGTACTACATAGACTTTGAAAATATAAACTTTTTCTTGAACTGAAGTTAAATGACCATGAAAATATAAACTTGAATTTTGACTATTGCAATGTTTTTATTTATGCAGATAACATGTAGCATTCCATTTGCATTGGCATCTATTTTTTCCAGTACTTCTGGTGCAGGTCAAGGTGAGGTTCCCAACTGCATTTAACTATTATTATCTTTCTTGTGTATTATCAAGGTATAGAAACTTTTTTGCTCTATTTTTTTTTTCTTCAATTTGATGTAATTTCTGATATTTGAATCTGATCAACAGGGCTTTCCTTGGGAATTTTGAATCTTGCAATAGTAATCCCACAAGTAATTTTGCTTACTCATGCTATTGCATCTATTTTTTTAATTTGAATAGCATGTCATAAATGTGGCAACGTGATTGAGGTTGTTGATTTCCTAAATCAACCCATTCAGGATATGTTTGAAGAATTTGTTTTGGGAAAGGTTTGGATTTGATCCTTCCTCTTAGAAACCCCATTTTGCTTCGGGTTAGGTTTCGTGTTGAAACTAATCCCACCGACTCAAATTGATGGATTGAACCAAATGGCATTTCATTTTCCCCTTCATAAATTCTTAGCTACCTCGTACATAGGAAATTGCCATTAGCCGAGGATAATTACAACTACTATTTGACTCTGTTTTGTGCAGATGGTGGTGTCTGTAGGGGCCGGACCCTTTGATGCAATATTTGGAGGTGGGAATATGCCTGCATTTGTTCTAGGAGCCGTTGCAGCAGCGGCCAGTGGTATATTTGCGCTCACCATGCTACCGTCTCCACCACCAGATGTCCTGGTAGCCAAAGCTGCAGCTGCTTCTGGGTTTCATTAACAATGAAGAGGGTGTTTGAACTTTTTTCCTCGTATTTTCTTCTTTCTTTCCAGGCGTAGAAAGATTGTAGTGTGCTATGGGATAGCCATCCTGGTTGAAAAAGATTAGCCAGGATGGCCATAAGCTGTAAACGTGCTTAAGCATGGTGAATCATGTTTTTAAAAAAATCAATTTCATAGATGTTTTAGCTAATTATGCATTTTGGTATGAGTAGGTGGACTGTGGACATGAGTGGTACTTTTGGACTAGGCAAATACTCAAACATGAGAACGCGAATGACAACACAAAATTTGATCATTTTGAAATAAGAACATGATCCTTTGCATAATTTGGCCTCAAAATTACCTTGTGATATCACGTAAACTACAATGACAACGTTATTTCATGTTATATAATTGTTAAATTTCGAATTGAAAAATAATTTGATTAGAATGAAGCTAATTTTTATCATGTTAAATGTTATCTTTACATTCAAATTATCCTTATTTTTTAACTAAAACAAAGATCACTTTTTGTTAAGAAAATATTATAATTATAATATAATGTGATACTCTATAAATTTATAATATAATGTATTGTTATATAATTAATTTTTTTCATTTAAAATTTAATATATATAATATTATATATTTATTTATTTAATATCATATCTTATTTATTTAATTTTATATTATAATTATAATATTACCATTTTTATTACTATTGTGAAGACTAACGAAAACTTATCCTCAATTAAAAAAAAAAAAATTGACATGCCCTTCCGAGTTCTGCCTTTGGACTACTTGAACTTTACGATTATGTTGTTGGCTAAGAAAAGAACTTAATAAAGATGAAAAGGGTCCCAATTGCAAAATACCCAAAAGTGTAAAAGCAGCAACTATTATCGAAAAGGGTTATATTTTGTAGTTTGAATTACATAATAATTTTTTATGATGAAAGTAAAAGGAATTATATAATTTGATATAATTCATATTGTAAATAAAAATTATTTAATCAACGATTTGTTAGTTTGAGTGAAAAAAAGTTAGTTTCCCTTAATGTAATTTTTAATTGTAGGAGTAGGTTGGCAGGTGGGTTTGGAGCGAAGAATCTGGGTTGTTTCAATTAGGCTTTACTTGGTAAATGGAGATGGAGGCTCTTAGAGGATAAAAAATCTTTATGGATAAAGGTCATAAAGGCTAAATATAGGATAGATAGAACTAAGTTATGGGAAGGGGATTTTTGGGATGCTAGTAGTTCTAGTTGGTGGAAGGGTTTGTGCAAAATTGATTCTTCGCCTATAAGTAGAATAGGATGGTTTCAGGAGAATATTGAAATAGTGGCAGGGGAGGGTTCAAACACACTTTTTTGGCATGAAAAATGGGTGGGGAGTGTTCCGTTGAAGATTAGTTTTAATAGGTTGTTTAGTCTAGCAACAAGTAAAGGGGCGTTAGTTTCTGAAATGGGTAACTAGAGAGATGGGTCATGGATTTGGAAGTGGAGTTGGAAAAAAAATTTGTTTGCTTGGGAATATGATTCTCTGCAGGAGTTACAGACTACAATCCAAAGGCAACACCTATTTCAAGGCATTGAAGATAGATGGGTTTGGAAGCAAGACTCGAAAGCAAGGTATTCCGTTAGCTCAGCTTATGACTTACTAATGCCCAGTACTAGTTTGGAGCAACCTAGAGACTTTGGAATGATTTGGAATAGAAGGGTGCCACTGAAGATATCAACTTTTGCATGGAAAGCAGTATAGAATAGAATCCCAACAAAGGAGAACTTACTGAAAAGAAGGATTTTGTTGAATTCAAATAACTTGTCATGTGCCCTATGTGGATTGGGGGTTGAAAACTCGAACCACATCCTTTTCTCTTGCTCCGTAGCTTGGAATGTCTGGACATCTTGCTACAAATGGTGGGGTATTACTACTATATCACATGAAAAAGGCTGGCAACATTTGGAGCAACACTCAGGCCTCTTCACTAATCGACATTGACAGGAAGCCTGGACGATGGTCTAGTTTGCAACATTATGGTTTGTGTGGCTATTGAGAAATGAGATGACATTTAAGAAAAGTTCAGAACTCAAAGGGAAGGTTGTGGAACTAATCAAACATCAAACCTTCTAATGGCTTAAAGCTACCTTGGTGCCTAAATTATCGATGGATCATTGGTATGCTTACCCTATACAAGCGTGTGAATTGGCAAGAAAACAACAACACAAATGATCCTACTCCATAAATGAAGGTTTTGGGATATTCATGTAAGCTTTGCATATTGTGTCCCTTTAATTTGGTAATTGCATGTGTGGAATTTGTTTGATTTACTTGTGAGGGATGTTTGCACACATGTGATTTCCTTATGATGTAATGGGTAGGAGTACTCCTTGTACTTTTTTAATAAATTTTTTTCTTGGCTGATAAAAAAAAAAAAATTTTAAGTTCGAGTCTTGTGAATAAAAAAATAAACACTGGGAGAGCTTCCCTTGATGAGATCCAACGTGGTTTGATTTCAAATTAATTAGGATCCAATGTTGTTACTAGATATTAAGAGATTAATACAAAAAATAAAATAAAATAAAATAAAAAATCATAAAAATATTATCGGTACAATCTCATGAGTATTGATAACACTTCCTATTTATGTTCTACGCTATATAACATATTCCTTTCTATCTTCATCATCTAAATGGATACCAAGAGAACTTACATAATTAAGGCTTAGTTTGAGAGAGCTACATTGAAGTTGTAGCTTAAGTTTTTTGGTTTTTTAATATTTAAAAAATATACTTTATATAAAATATATTTAATATTTATTTTAATTAATATTTGAAAACAATAAAACTACATAAAAAAAGTAAATCACCAAAAAATATTCCCTAAAGAAAAAAAATACTACCTAAAGAAGAATTAAATGAAAAAAAAAAAAAACATATCTTCATCACATATAAGTATATATAATTACATAAGACATCTGTAAATTAGTGGCAAACAACCTAAGTCATAGAAACAATCAGGTAGGGGTCATCCGGCCTCCCCTTAAAAAGGATATATATATATAAATTAATGTGTATCAGTTTCAATTCTTAAAAAAATTAAAATCTTAACATATATTTAAAAATTAAAATTTCAATTCAAAAATTAAAAATTCAATTAGTTTTTAAATTTAATTTGAAAATCGATCTAAAAATTCACTTTTTAATTAATATTTTCAAAATTAATT